AGACCAAACGAAACAGACACAGATGAAAACCCTGGAACCCTGAATTTCAGAGGAATGATTCGACAAATGGATTGAGTGCTTGCTGGGAGGAGAAGCTGAGCAGGTATGGTAAGAAAAGGAGACGAGTAATGGGCCAGCCAGATGTGGCATGACCATCTTGTGAGCAGCTTTGGCAGTAGAAGGTGGCCTGGCTGGAAGAAGAGATTCACCTGGGCGAGGGAAAGGTGCCATTCCTTGTTTTTTTTTCCAGTGCTCCCTTGGTTACCAGAGGGCTGGCCAGCTCCCACCCTCATCCATCCCCCAGTGAAGACCCTGCTCTCCAGGAGCTTGGAGCTACATGGTTGGCAGCCATGTCAGTGTGAGCCCGGGGCTGGCTGTGTTGCTTTGGTGCCTGGATTCAGGCAGGATCAGTGGCAGACCTATAGAACCTATAGAGCCAGCAGACCAGCACTGAACCAGTCCCCCTGCTCCCAGCTGCCTAACAGATGCTGAAACCAGCTCCATTAAGGGCCCCCAGAAACTACTTCCGGATTGACATCCTGACCCTAGGTAACATGGCGGCCAGTAGGAACTCCATCTAGGGCAGGAACTGCAGTCACAGCCCTCCCACAGGAACCCTCCAGAATGTTCTCCTCTTTGGGTCCAATAGCTGACTGCTTTTTGTTTCCGAGTTTGGTTTTTCAATTCATTGTTTTTGTTACATACACTCTATAACTCTGACCGCTGGGCAAGAGCCAAGACCAGCTTCTATACCTTCTGATCAACAATAGACAGCGGCCAACACCAGCCAAATCTGCCCTAAACTGAGGTGGAGCGCCTGGGAAAGAGAACAGTGTACATGTTTCCATTGTGTGACTATACCCACAGGAGACAGTAAGTAAGAGCCTAAGAACAGATCAACAATCATCAAATACAAATATGACAACCTCACAATGCCCCAGAGGCAACAGGCACTTTTAGCTCACACTAGGAAACAGGAGGAGTGCTAGTGTGGTACTGAAGAGTCTGTGCTGGACTGCAAAATTGGTTTGAACCACAAGGTTGGTGGTTCACATTCACCAGTTGTTCCTCGGAAGCCCTATACAGGTTGCTATGGGTTGAACTGGCTTGGCAGAACTTAACAACAACAACAAGAGACAAAAGAGTCCTGGTATGGCGCAGCAGGTTAATGCACTAGATTGTAAGGTCAGTTTGAATCACAGGGTTGGCAGTTCCAGGTCACCAGCCGCTCCTCAGAAACCCTTTAAGGATTGCTATGAGCCAGAACCAACTCAAAGGCACTTACCAACAACAAGAAACCAGAGTCCTGTTGTGGCACCGTGGGATAATGCACTGGGCAAGGTTGGTTTGAACTGCAAAGTTGGCAGTTCAAACTCACCAGACACCCCTCAGAAACCCTATACAGGGTCGCTATGAGTTGGAACCAACTCAACGGTACTTAACAACAACCAGAAGAAACAAGGAGAATGGCTCAAACAAATGACCAAGATGCAGAGCCAGAAAATGTTTCTGAGGAGAAGAAGCTAATGGAATTAACTGAAAGAGAATTCAAAAGAATGATAGGTACCTTCAAAATACTGACAGAAAGATCAGGAAAGCAAGGAGAACACAAGAAAAAAAAACTTTTTTTTTTTTTTTTTTTTTAAAGAAGAACTCAGGAAGAGCAAGCAGATAAAATAAATGCAAAATTTGAAATAATACAAAATCTGCAATTAGAAATCCAGAAGATTAATTCTAAGATTTAACAAAGTTTGTTAACATGACACCAAGCTGACCCTGTGTGGTTGCTACCAGAAGACAAGGGCCAGACCTGTCCAGAGTGGTTTTGGTGTTGGGTTAGTGCGCCACACGCTGTCCACAGGTGTTTACAGGACAGGTGTGTGGGGCCTTTCAGCACCTGGCCTTCTACACCCATCAGTCAGATGTGTGGTTTTTGCAAGAACCCCAAGATACCAGCTAACATTGATCTCAATGGCTGCAACCTCCTTCTCTGAGACAAGCCCTTCTAGATTTGTGGAGAAAATGACATAACTTAACCTGCAAAAGATTTCCTAAAATCACTTTCTGGCATGGTTACGACTTGGCTTCGCAGCCAAATACCTGCCGATGTTAGCACCCTATTTTCACCTGAATTGAGGGAAAGATAAACTTTCAGAGATCTTTGGGTACAAGTAGAGTAGCAAGCGTGAATGGGGCGTTAACAGCAGTATTCTTTCTGATCATAGAACCATCAGCTCCAGAGTATTGAAAAGCAGTGTCAAAAATCTGTCTTTGTGAACATGAGAGATGCAAGGAGAGTTAACAACCCACAGAAACTCGTGACCACCAAAAACAGAAGAGTGAGTCCAAAAGTATTGCTACCAGGGTTCCTTCAGACACGCAGAGGTTTATTCCAAAAGAAGCTGTCTCTGCCATCAGCGGATTACTGTAGTAGACAAGTCCTCTCAGTAATCTTCTCCTTGGGGTGCCTTCAAAAGCAAGGTCCAATTAAAACAGTGGCTACTAAAACATGGAGTCACTTAGATTCAAGGCAGAGAGATCAGCTCAGAAGACCACTGACTGGTTTGTTTGTTTTTTGAGATGCCAAAGGGGCATCTTGATACGTTTTATCAAAAGACAGAGGATCATCACAGGGGATTTACTATGAAGGAGTTTTCTGAAAATTGAAATCTGCTTTGGTGAGAAAAAAGCCAGGAAAGTTATGCTTCTGTTCCCATCAAGACAAGACACCTGTTCATTCTTTAAGGGCAGCAAGAGAATTTCCTTGGGAAACCTTATCCCATCCATCCTATACCCTGATCTTGCCCCTTTAGACTTCTTTATGATCCCAAAATTCAAAGTACGTTGGAAACGAACACAATTTGAGTACTTCAAGGATGTCAAAACTGCTGTTTTGACGGGGTGTAAATGGAAAAGTGCAGAATTCTTTGGGGAAAGGTTAGAGCGATGGAAACACCACCTTCAGAACTGGACACACCTGGATGGAAGGTGTTGAGAAACAACAGCTTCGCAGTTGGATGTTTTTGTTTAATAGCGGTGTCTATGATTTTGTAGCAATACTTTTTGACGTCCCCTCATTTGTACAGTGCTTTATTCTTTTTTGCTATTCCTAATTTTAGTTAAATATATTTCACAGAGCTTCAGAATAAACTCAGGTGGTCTGAAAGGGAAGCAGCCTAAATGTCTGATTCTACACAGGGAGCGATTTGGGCATAAACCAGTAAATTATAAAGCAAGATGTAAAAGTCTTTAGAAAAGGAAATAATGTAGCAACACAAAATTCCCTTTTTTAGTATTTACACTGTATCATTACTGGGCTAAAGAAGGCCAAGAAAGAACACCCACACTTGCAGATGATGCCCATTTGACCTGACTTCAATGACTGGATAAACAGAGCTCAACCCGAAGAAGAAAGAAGAGGAAAAAAGCGTCATCTGACACAATTCGATAAACATGACCTACACCTATAAATGTAGTAGCTCAAAAGAGGAAACAAGTCCCTGCTGCAAGAACTATACACCCACCCCCTCCACACAAAGGGTAGACAGGGATGGGCAACTTGGACATTGGCTACCCAAAATGGGGGGAGGGACACAAAGGTAAGAAGTGACTGGCTTACAAGCTTTCAAGAGGGAACCTAGATCCAGAGGGCATGGAGGAAGGTAGAGTCTCCAGTGAGTGGTGTCCAGCCTGTCCAGGAAGGGCTGATGAAACAAAATATAGATGGGTCTCTTGTGATGCAATAGTGAATAATTGTTATCAGGACTGATTGTGAGGGTTGGAAATCTAAAGATGGACATTTTGTAACAAAGAGGGGAGTGATTAATTTATCAGTCTAGGAGCGGAGGACCCTGGGACCATCAATGGAGAAGAGCGAAGAGCAGAATCCTACCGAGAGAGGCAGTGAGGCCTGGGATGGAGGCAGAGAAGACAACGTCAAGAGATGGTGGGGCTGGGGGCTCGGGATCAGGAGATGGAAAGGGGCTGAGGACTGAGGGGGTGTGTATGCAAGTTTACAGGGTACACCCCTTAGTTGGGTGAGGATGCATGGACAGGAAGATAACTATGCCAACGAAATGATGGATGATGGAATGAATGTAAAGCTGATGTTCTCCCATGTAGACTATCACACAATTCACAATAAAACATTTAAAAAATAAAATAAAACAAAACAAAATAAAATAAAGAAGGCCAAGATTTTATAGACAATACTGCCCTATAGTTAGAAGGCCAGTTTATCAGACGGTATTCCCCAGAAATTCTGTTTGTCAGGGCAAGGCTGAGTTCTGCCCTGTTTGTCAGGGCAGGCTGAGTCAATGCCCATCACACATTTAAAATAGATTGTCTCTTTGCCGGCTGCTTATTAGGTACTCCACTTAGCAAAATGCGAGTGGCTTCTCTCTTCCCTATCTATTTCAAATATGTATGTCTCATGGAATGGAGATAGAAAGACCCAAAATCTTGATCAAGAATTCGAAGGCACAGAATAGGTTTTAGGAGTCCTGGTGTGGCGTTGTGTGTTAATGCGCCAGACTGCAAAGCCATCTGAAGTGCAAGGTTTGTGGTTCAAGCTCACTAGCTGCTCCTAGGAAACCCTATACAGGGTCCCTATGGGTCAGATCCGATTCGATGGCACTTAACACATACACCAATATGCCTTAGCAAATTAGAATTGGGGTGAGTTAAAAGAGAGCTAGACAGAATGAGGTAATTCTCACATTCGTTTCTAGAAGCGGATAGAGAGAAACCATGAGTACAACAAAGGACGTAACGAAAACTTTTCAAATTGTTTTAGCCCTTCCTTTAACTTTATATGTATAAAAGGTAAAGAAATATTAGGCATAGAAAACTTTGGGGGGCATAACAATAGTAATTTTCAAATGAGATTATCATAAAATACAACCTCGTAGTTTGCAAGACACTGGAATTTAGCCAATCTCTAGGCAGAGGTGGGCTTGGTGCTCATGAAGTTTATTACTCAAATTCAACTAAGATTCCTCAAAATAGTCATCAGCAGGATTTTCCTCTGACTCTTAGGATTCAGAAGAAAATACTAGTAACCTTGTCCTGCAGCCTATGGAAATAGTTTAAGGTTTGTAGTAAAAACCTAAATAATTTAGCTAACTACTGCAGGTCATCCTTCAGAAAACTCAAGTGAACAATCATTCTTCTTTTATAAAATCTTCTGGTGCTCACTGCACCTAACTGGGAATATACACAGAGGTATAGCTTAGCTACGTGTGCATGAATGCAAACTAGAATATAAGGTCTTGCAGTTCCTTGTCAGTCAGTTCATTAACTTCCATGATCTTCTCTAAGTGTTCCATGTATCGGCCATGGTCTTGAAGAAAGTGAGGAACCCTCATGCTTTCAGTAACTGCTAATCCTTTCAACCGATCCACATCTTCATAAGAAACCTAAAAACAAAATAAGGAAGGTGGGTCAACTTTAAAATTTAACTACTACAAGGTACATTCTGAAGAGGAATTTCCCCCATGGACCCTAAATGAAAACACTTAATATAAAGACTGTTTGCTAAATTACTTCAATATCTGCAAAGAACAATTATCAGTGGTTACTTTTCTTTACAAATAAGTACATATTTACTTGCCCCCTCATGCCCCAACCTTACCAAAAAAGGAGTGAAAGTCAAAATTGATTTTGGACTTTATCTTGGACCTACTCTATCTAGAGGAGTCCTGGTGTGGCGCTGTGGATTAATACACCAGACTACAAAGTCGTTTGCTTCAAGGTCGGCGGTTCAAGCTCACCAGCTTCTCCTCGGAAACCCTATACAGGGTCGCTATGGGTTGGAATTGATTTGACAGCACTTAACAACAACAACTCTATCTAGAAATTATACATGCAAACTTAACTTCGTATATAAAGGAACTTCAAAAATTAAATGGAAAAATTCCATTAACTTTCAAGCTCATTTCCTGCAAACTTTTTGAAGTCCCTCATATGTAAGTGAAAGAGGGAGTCTAAACCTAAGTCTATCTCCTGACTAAATCGAAAAAGAATCAATAAAATGGCTAGGCTGTAAGTACCATATTATCAAGTTAGGGAAATTAGCACAATTACATATAGAATACCTATTTCCATTTCATTTGGGAAATATAATTTGTGTTACATTCTTTTGCTTTTATTTTCAATTTTTATAAGTATTAATAAAATTTTTCTATTGCTTTCATTCTCCTGCGTAAGAAGCCAATCTTTCATGGCATTGATGCTAGGTTTGTAAGGGGAACTTTTAAAATTCTATAAATTATCTGTGCATCGTTCAATTCCAAAATATGGTTGAATTTAAATACTCTTATTGTCTAGTGATTAAAATTCTTCCTGGGAAAGAGAAAGGCTCTAAGAATTCATGTTTGCATTATATGTGTGTTTTATGAGGCGGTAGATAAATGCGTGTCGGCTGTGACTCAGGGCGACTTCCAAGTAAAGCAGGAGGAAATCCTGCCTGGCCCTGTGCCATCTCTGATCACTGGTGTTGGAGTCCACTGCTATGGCTACAGTGTTAATCCATGTCACTGAGGGGTTTTGGTTAACCAGAGCTCTGGTAGCATAGTGGTTACGAATCGGGCTGCTAATCTCACAGTCAGCAGTTCGAAACTACCAGCTGTTCCGCCGGAGAAAGATAAGGCTTTCTGCTCCCATAAAGATTTACAGCCTCAGAAACCCTGTACAGGGTCACTATGAGTTCGAACCAACTTCACGGCACATAACAACAACCACCACCATCTTACTAAATTTGTTGTAGATATTGGTACGGGTTAGTAGCTCTTAAACCCTGTTGAGCTTATTATAAGAGAGAATGAGCCAATATATTGATATTGTTGGGAAACAAGGTCAGTGTCATTGAATCGACTCAGACTCATAGCGAGCCCACAGGACAGAGTAGAACTGCTCCGTAGGGTTTCTGCAGACGCACAGCTTCAGAGAAGCATCATCTTTTCTCCTCGATCACAACCTTCTGGTCAGCAGCCAAGCACACTTCAGTTATTTCACCACAGGAGCTCCTCATTCTAGGAGAATGGAGCTAGAAATGTGGAATGGGAGGCAAGGTGTGAGAACGCTGCCGAGCTAAATTTCAGTAGAAATGCCTTTATGACTGAAAACTCAGACAGGGAGCCCCCACTCTTTGAAAGCTTGCTTGAAGACACTTTGCTTTTTTGTAAGACCTGCGTCGGTACCTGTTTTCACTAACTGAACAAATCTGAAGAGAATTTTCACATTCACAAAACAGAAAAGTGTAACTAGCGTGCAGCTTTTGTCTTGCTGTGAGTGATTCCAGAGGCAGCGCACACCCCTCCCAGCTCCTTCCCGGGGACGAGACTCAGGACCTCAGCAGCCAGCTGCCACCACTCTGAGCTATCTGAAAACATGCATGTTCATGCTATTTAAATGTTTGGTATTCGGTGTCATCTGGGAACTTATTTTGGGGGGTCTGGGAATGCTCAAAAAAAAAATCTCCCCATATAAACTAATGGCCACTGCTTCTTTGCTTTATGCCATTTCGGCTTCTGGAAGGTTTCACAGCAAGGCTCTCGATACTTCCAGACAACAGAGGCCACTGCACATATGATCTGCTATTGAAAAGGTCTAGAAGCAATGGCTTCTTGTTGTTAAGTGCTGTGGAGTCAGTTCCTACTTATGCTAAGGTTCCCAAGGAACAGCTGGTGGGTTGGACCACTGACCTTGTGGCGAACAGTCCAGTGTCTATCCTAGTGAGCTGCCAGGAAGTAATGATAGTAGAACAACAGTAAATACTCCTAGTGCTCAGATCTTGTTTTCTGAGTACCATTTCCCAGTACAGGAAATCAAGGCTTCCTTGGAGAGATTGATTGATCTCAGATTTGGGGGGAGAAAAGTATGAGTCCCAAACATTACTGTGCCAGAGAACATCGATTACTGTTTTATTTTGTTTTTTAAAAGCAGCAGTTATCTTGACAGGATTGAATTTAAAAGAATAAATCCATAATATATTACAAATGGTGGTGGGGGTGGACGGGGAACGATAGAAGAACAGAATGAGAAAATCTCTATGTTGGTTCCACCCGTATAACCATTTGGGGAGCATGGCGTCTCCACAGGATAAACACTGGCTGTGAACCCAGTAGTTGCTCTGAGGGAGAAAGATGAGGCATTCTGCTCCGGTAAAGATTTACAGCCTCGGAAACCCTGTGCAGGGTCACTATGAGTCGGAACTGATTCCACTGCACTTAACCACCAACCACCACCACCAAAGATGTATAGCTTCAGAAACCCTGTGTTTTTGCTGTTGTTAAGTACCATCAGATTGGTTCCAACTCATAGTGACCCTGTATGGGGCTTCTGAGGAGTGGCTGGTGAGTTTGAGCCGCCAACCTTGCAATTCAAACAAATCTTGTAGTCCAGTACGTATCTTATAAAGCGCCACACCAGGACATCCTATACAGAGAAACCCTATTTGTTGTGGTTGTTGTTGTTAAGTGCCATCGAGTTGGTTCCGACTCATAGCGACCCTGTAGGGTTTCCAAGGAGCAGCTGGTGGATTTGAACTGCCAGCCTTGCGGTTCACAGGCCAATGCTGATACTAACAGTGCCACACCAGAAACCCTATACAGAGGTTTAAAGCCTTGGAAACTCTATACAGAATCGCTATGAGCAGGAACTGACTTGAGGGCACTTAGCAACAACAATAGTATAATACTTTAAGAGCCCTGGTAGCACAGTGGATTATGCACTGGGTTGTAAACCACAAGGTCAGCAGTTCAAATCCACCAACTGCTCCTCAGGAGTAAGATGAAGGTTTCTGCTCCTGTAAAGTTTTAGAGCCTCGAAACCCTATCTATGGTTGCTATGAGTTGGAACTGACACCACAGGTAGGTACCTTTGCAAATCGAGAGATCTGGCAGTTATAAACGTAACCGGGTGTTCAAACACAGCATCACCAATAAATACGCCAAATGTGCCAAATGTGCTTTCTAATGTGATGCAACAGGAAATTACTAGAGAAAACGTCTAATTGGAATTTAACCATGATAAACAATCTTAGCAATATAACAATCCAGACTGTAGGAATCCCTAAGAAAACTAAGCTGCACTATTAAAAGTGTCATGAAAACACAAGAACATTTGAGCAGAGGACTAATAGAGAATAAAGGATATTTAAAGACATACTCAGTGCGATGCAAAAATCTTGACTAGATCTTGGGTCACAAAGAACTCTCAAGGACATTTGAGGGTAAATTTGTACTTATTAAGTCAATAATAAAAATTTCTTAAATAAAAAAATGGTGGTATGGCCACGCCAGAGAATGTCTCTGCTTTCAGTAGATACACTTTGAAGTATTTAGGGATGAAATCTTATGCCTGCTGTTTACTTCAAAATAGTACATATAAAAAAAGAAGTGTATAAAAATAAAAACATATATCCCCAAATTTCTTATTCCCTTCTTTATCTTTCATTGACTACCAAGAAGCTGCACCACCATCTTTCTTCTCTCCTGTTACTGTGTGAAGGACTCGCATTCCAACAAAACCAGTCTGACCCTGAGTCTTAGTTACTCATCGAGCCAGCCAGTAGGACACGCTGGCCTGGAGTGTTGGGGGCTATGTGCTGTTGCTTTCACCCACCTTTCCCAGAGCAGTCAGTAGATGGAAGTCAATGGTCTCTCTGTATCGCAGGATTTGTAGGATTCCATCCAAGTAAACCTGGTCTTTACTGAAACAACCTGCAGGAAATAGATTAGGGTTTACTTTCTTGCTTTTAAATAAAATAATTAAGTAATTTAGCAAGCACTCATCCATTCCCTTCACTGTAGGAACCAATCCCATATGAAAGTTCTCATTTGCTACAAGTTGATTTTTATTTAACTATCTTTGAAACAAGGAGTTCTGATGATGTAGTGGTTATGAATCGGGCTGCTAACCTCAAGGTCGGCGGTTTGAAACTACCAGCCGCTCCGTGGGAGAAAGAGGAGGCGTTCTACTCCCATAAAGATTTACAGGCTTGAAAACCCTGTGCAGGGTCACTATGAGTCAGAACTGACTCCATGGTACTTAACAACAACAACAACATCTTTATAACAAAAAAATTCAGCACCATTCCATGATGAAAACTCTCAGAAAGCTATGCACTGAAGGGCATAAATAAGAACCTCTCAACTAACATCATACTCAGGACAGAAAGTCTGAGAGCTTTCTGGTGTCCTCTCTGAGAATCCACTGGTGTCCATTTGGCACTGATATGCAATATTGTACTGGAGATCTCAGCACAATTAGCAAGAAATAAAAGGATCCAAATTAGGAAGGAATTAAACTGTCTCTTTACAGATGACCTGATCCTGGAGGTAGAAAATTCCAAATGAGCCACAAAGGCAACTAGAAGTAAACAAATGATTTTAGCAAAGTTGCAGGCCTACAAGATGAACACGTAAGAATTCACTGAGTTTCTTAACATTTTGTTGTTGTTGTGTGCGATCAAGTTGCTTCCAACTCTTAGTTACTCTGTAGAGAGTTTCTGAGGCTGTGAATCTTTACTGGAGCAGAAAGCCTCATCTTTCTCCTGCAGAGCAACTAGTGGATTCCAACCGCTGACCTTGTGGTCAACTGCCAAATGTATAACCTACAACGATCCCAGGGTTCCCTTCTAAACACTAGCACTGAGTAATCTGAAAATGAAGTTAGAAAAACTTTGATAAGCACTGGACTTCTAACCACAACTTCAGTTCATACTACCAACCCCTCCTTTGAAACCCTACACAGGGTTGCTACAAGTTTTATTAGTGTGAGAGCACTGTACTTGAAAAACTGAAAGCCAGAAACAAGACTGTATAAACTACACCAAACTGGCAAGACCCTGTCTTGCACCTTAAAGAGTAAAATACTTAGAAAATAAGTTTAAGCAGGGAGATGAAAGACTTGTTCACTGAAAATTATAAAACATTGCTCAAGAAAATTAAAGCAGAACTAAGTAAATGGAAAGACACTTCATGCTCATGCAATAGAAACATTAGTATTTAAGACGTCAGTACTACCGAAAGCAATCTGTAGATTCAACACAATTCCTCTCAACATCCCAACAGTCTTTTTTGCAGAAATGGATAAGCCAATTCTCAAATTCTTCTTCTACTGTAATGGGTCTCAAATAACCAAACCAATCTTGAAAAAGAAAAACAAAGGAGGAGGACTTAGACTCCCCAATTTTAAAACATACTAAATAAAAAGTTACAGTAATCAAAACAGCAGTTTGATGCTGGTATAAGGACAGACACACAGATCAATAGAACAAAACTGAGATTACAATAATCCATACATCTATGGTCAACTGATTTTCAACAGGGATGCAAGTCTATCCAATGTGACAAGACTAATCTCATCAATAAATAGTCCTGGGAAAAGTGAATCTCCACATGCAAAAGACTGAAGTTTGAACCATATTATCACGCCATATGTGACAATTAATTCAAAATGGCTCAATGACCTAAATGTAAGAACTAAAACCTTAAAACCGAGGAAAAACCTATAAGGCTAATCTTCCAGGACCTAGTTCTCAATGATGGATTCTGATATATGATACCAAAAGCACAAGCAGCGAAATAAAAAGTAGATCAATTGGACTTCATCAAAATTTAAGACATCTGTGCATCAAAGGATTTTAACAACAAAGTGTAAAGACGAACTACAGAATGGGAGAAAAAGTTCTGAAACCATTTATTACGTAAGGGTTTAATATCCAGAATAGTTTAAGGACTCCTACAACTCAACAACAAAAATATACAAGACAATCAAATGATGAGCAGAAGAACTGAACAGACATCTTACCAGTGAAGATAAACATATGGTCACACTAAGCACATGGAAGTATGCTCAAAGGGAAATGAAAATTAAAACCACAATGTGGTATCATTTCACGCCCACTAGGATGACTACTATCAGTTGAACAGAAATAACAATTGACAAGGATATGGAGAAATCAGAACCTGATGTGGCACTGTGGATTAATGCGCTGGACTGCAAAGTCTCTTTGAATCACAAGGTTGGCGGTTCAAACTCACCAGCTGCTCCTTGGAAACCCTATACAGGGTCGCTGTGGGTCGGAACCGACTTGACGGCACTTAACAACAACAACAACAACAATACGTTGTTGGTGGGGTTAAAAATGGTGCAGCCACTGTGGAAAACAGTATGGCAGTGCCTCATAAATTTAAGCATAGAATTGCTATATATTGCCATTGAGTTGATTTTGACGCATAGTGACTCTATATAGGGTTTTTGAGAATGTCAATATTTTGTCTCTTTTTTTTTGCAGACATAGAAGTCAATTCTCAAATTTCATCTGGTATTGCAATGGGTCCCAAATAACCAGAGCAATCTTGAAAAATAAAAAGGAGGAGCACTTGACTCACCAAGTTTGACAGCTTCATCCTTCTCCTGTGGAAAGGATGGTGGATGTGAACTGCTGACCTTGCAGTTAGCAGCCGAATGTCTAACTCATGGCACATACAACTTAGCAATTCTTCTACCCCAAAGACCAAAAATCCTACATGTTCAACAGCAGATGCATGGGTAAACAGTACAATGTTTACCACTGAACCACTGAGAGAAATAAATTCTGGTACATGTCATGAACCTAGAAAACACTGTGCTGAGTCAAATAAATCAGACACAAAAGGACAAATATTGTATGACCTCACTTGTATGAAATACCTAGTGAAGGCAAATTTACAGAGCTCTGGTAGCGTAGTGGTTATGAATCGGGCTGCTACCCTCAAGGTCAGCAGTTCGAAACTATCAGCTGTTCTGTGGGAGAAAGATGAGGCTTTCTGCTCCCATAAAGATTTGCAGCCTCGGAAACCCTGCACAGGCTATGAGTCGGAACCAACTCCACAGTACTTAACAACAACAACAGTTTATTAATGGTTACCAGTGACAATGGTGGTGGTGGTTGAGTGTCGTGGAGTCAATTCTGACTCACAGTGACCCTGTATAGGGTTTCTGAGGCTGTAAATCTTTATGGGAATAGAAAGCCTCATCTTTCTCCTGCAGAGCGTTTGGTAGATTTGAACTACTGATCTTACAGTTAGCAGCCCAGCTCGTAATCCACTATGCTACCAGTGCTCCATACTAGTGGCAATGTTGTTGTTGTTAAGTGCCATTGAGTCAATTCCGACTCATAGAGACCCTGTAAATGGTTTCCGAGGCGTGGCTGGTGAGTTTGAACTGCTGACATTGTGGCTCAAACTGACCTAACAGTTCAGTGCATTAACCCACAGCAGCACACCAGGACTCCTGCAATATGCAGATGTCTCATCTTGTTTGCTGAAACCAAAGAGACTTAAAGCACTTACTGAATAAAGATTACAACCTTCAGTATTGATTGCATCTCAACATAAAAAAAAAACTCCTTACAACTGAACCAATAAGCAACATCAAGATAAATGCAAAAAAGACTTAAGATTTTAAGGATTTCATTTTACTTGGATCCACAATTCAACATCTGTGGAAGCAGCAGCTAAGAAATAAAAATAATTCACTGCATGAGCAAATGTGCTGTGCAAAACTCTATAAAGGGTTAAAGAGCAAAGAAGTCACTTTGAAGACTAAGTGGTACTCAATCCAATCTATGGTTATTTTCAATCACCTCATATGCATGTGAAAGCTGAACAATGAAAAAGGAAGACTGAAAAAGAATGGATGCATTTGAATTATGGTGTTGGCAGCGTAGTGGTTACGAATCGGGCTGCGAACCTTAAGGTCAGCGGTTCGAAGCTACCAGCTGCTCCGCGGGAGAAAGATGAGGCTTTCTACTCCCGTAAAGATTTACACCCTCGGAAACCCTGTACAGGGTCGCTATGGGTCGGAACCGACTCAACGGCACTTAACAACAACAAACAACAAGTTACTGAGGAGCACATGGACGGCCAGAGAAATAACAAACCTGTCTTGGGAGAAATATAACCAGAATGCTCCTGAAAGGCAAGGACAGGGAGATTTCATCTCACAGACTTTGGACATGTTGATCAGGAGGGACCAGTCCTTGGAGAAGGACATCAGACTTGGTAAAGTAGAGGGTCAGTGAAAAAGAGAAAGACCCTCAATGAGACGGACACAGTTGTTGGAACAATGAGCACAAACAGCAAAGATGGTGAGGGTGGCTTAGTATCAGAACTAACAACAACAACAACAACAACAACAACAACAGATCGTGAACACAGAAGATAAAGTTTATCTGAGTGGGGGCAAGGGACTGGGGAATAACTGCTAATGTTTCTTTTGGGTTGATAAAAATATCCTAAAATTGTTTGCAGTGATGGCTTACAATCCTGTGACTATTATACAAGCCGCTGAAAATGCAATTTAAAGGCATGAATTGTATCACAGAGAGAGAGAAAAATCAAAGAGAAAGAAAGCAAAAATGACAAAATATTCACAACTGGTGAGTCGAGGTGAAGGGTATCTGGGTGCACATTTTACTACTCTTTCCATGTGTATGTAGGTTAGAAATGTTTCAAAATGAACTGGGGAAAAATAAGGGTAAGAAAATGTAGTTTGGGAAAACTAGCTCTGACATCATATAACAAAGGTTCCTTTTTTTATATTTGTTGTTGTTGTTAAGTGCCGTGGAGTAGGTTCCAACTCACAACGACCCTGTACAGGGTTTCCAAGGAGCAACTGGTGAATTTGAACCACTGACCTCACAGTACAAACCGACTGTGCTGATTAGGGGATTCGGAAGTAACCAAAATCACTACATAATAACCCAGTCTCTCAGAAAACCTAGTCAGAGACACTCACCTGGTTGGGAAGTATCAGTCCATCCCCTCTTGGCTCGTACGCAATAATCCCATCTTGTGTTGGGGTCCTTGACAAACTTCCCAATGTCTCTGAAGAGTTCGCAGAAAGACACTTGGCTGGCTCGATAAACAGTATAGTAGAGGAGGGCAGCTCTCCATAGAAAGGGGTCTTTTCTAAATAGGACACTGTGAATACTTGCCAAGCCCTCCTCTGTGGGGTTGTTGGGCTTCAGCTCATGTTTTTTACGCGCAGCCCAACTGTTCCACGGCTGCTGAAGGTTGTTAATACCTCGGAAATAGTGCGTGCCTATGGAGAAGAGGAATACCCGTGAATCACAAGAATTCAATACTTGTTTTAATTCTTCTCCAAAAAAGATTCCACTAATAAGTCTACAATCCAACGGATGTATGCCTCCAAATTAAAACAAAGCAGACAATGACCTGACCTTTGAAAAGGTTGGCCACCTTCATGGCTCAACTTACAGCCAAAGGATAGACAGGTCTGTAAGGTGCACAATAACACCAGTGAGGTGCAGACTCCTTGGAATAATCAACCAAAGAAGACCAAAAGGGCAGCAGTTGCCCAGGGATGGAGCTCAGAAGGCAGGAAGGAATATGAAAGACAACGGAGGAAATGAGAACAGGAACACATAGTGAGAAAGTGGAAAAATGCTATTACATCATGGGAATTGTAATCAATGTCACGAACCAAAACCTATATGAATTGTTGAATGGGAAAACCAATTCAGTGTGTAAACTTTCACTCAGATCACAACCTAAAAAGCTTTAAAAATTAAATAAAAATAAATAAATAAAGACTTTTAGGTTTGAAAGAGTCCTGCCTTCAGCAAGTTGCCATGCCTCGTCAGAGGAGGTCGTTTATAACCTTCATAACAAGTCACCTTCATAAAGAGAAGAATTATTGATTCTGTATTTGAAAAGAATTTTCGAGAGCCCTTCATTCAACTCCAAGGTAGTAAGGTGGGGAACTGAAATCCAGGTTTCAATGATTTTCCAAGTTTAAAACAACAAGTTGTTGTTAGGTGCCATCTAGTCGGTACCAACTCATAGCGACCCTATGAACAACAGAACATATACAACTAAAGTGTGCCCTAAAAAATTTTTAAAAAGTAATTTCATTTAAAATGCTATACGGATCTATTGGCTATAGTCCAAGAGAAACTTAACAAATTTGTGACTTTTTGCCAATAGTACTAAGGGAAAGCCCTCTATTTAAACATCAACAACACTTCTTTGAAGCTGATTTCTGATATTACAAATGAACAAATAACAATGGGCGGCCCCTACCTATTTCATGCCTCAGCATCCCCTCCAGCCAGTGCTCACGTGCAGTGGAGACATTGATGGTCAGAGTGGGGCAGCCGTTGACCACTGTCATTGAAGCGCGGGAAAGCAGGTCCTCAGTGAGATGGACAACGATCTAAGGAGCAAGAGGAAAAGTACGTTCACACAGAAGTACTTCTACATATGGGGGAGCTGTCACAGAAAACAACAGCCTTATAAATGAACACTGTGTGTCTGCTGGTTGGTTAGTTTGCAACCACCTCAATCTCCCAGAAACAAGACAAGATGTAGAGTCAATCCGTTTTTAACTTAACTGATTTCCAGTCTTTCAGAACCCAAGATCTTTTACTGGGTTGCAAGAAAAGTAGATGGCCATGCTGAGGAAGATACCAAGGAATTGAAGATCCTTATAACTGTCTACCTGGTGAGCTCTCAAATGCAGTCCTTGACTAGAGGGACACCACAGAAGGCACTTTGTGACTGAGTAAGAAGTGCTACTAATATGAGAAGCCACCAGGGCAAATCTCTGTATTCATAATTCTCGTAAAACAATGCACATAATCCCACAAGCGATACAGAAATGGGAAGACAATGAGCACAAGAAAACACTTCTATGCCAAAGGAAGTTACACCAAAATTAAACCCACTGCCATGAAGACGGTTCCAACTCACAGCGACCCTGCACAGGGTTTCCGAGGCTGTAAATCTTTATGGGAACAGAAAGCCTTCACTTCCTCCTGAGGAGTGGCTGAAGAATTCAAACTGCTGACTTTGTGGTTAGCAGCCCTACCCATAGCCCATTATATTACTATTGGTGTTTGTAAGTGTCATCAAGTTGGTCTGACTCATAGTGACTCAGTATAGGGTTTCAAAAGGAACAGCTAGTGGGTTTGAACTATCGAGCTTCTGGTTCACAGTCTAGTTCTGATCCTACAGCGCCACACCAGGAGTCCTAGCAAGGCTCCTAAAAGGAACTTTGTTGCTGTTGTTAATTGCTATTGAGTCAGTTCTGACTCATAGCGACCCTGTATAGGGTTTCAAAGGAGCAGTCAGTGGTTTGAACCATCAGCCTCATGGTTCTGAGTCCAGTGCTGATCCTACAGCACCACACTAGGAGTCTTAAAGGAACTGGTTGTTGTTAAGTGTCGTAGAGTCGGTTCCGACCCATAGCGACCCTGCATAGGGTTTCCGAGGAGCAGCTGGTGAGCTTGAACCATTGACTTGGCTGTTCAAGCCAACCTTGCAGTCCAGCGCACTAACCCACAGTGCCACACCAGGACTCCTCAGACACATAGTATTTAGTGAGAATTACGGTGGGAAATTTAGTGAGTAGGGTTGGGAAAACAAAACCAGCCAGGAAAAAAGTCAAAGCTGTGCGCACTGATGGAGAGTGAAAATGCCCTTTAGGAGGTCATGTTCACAGGAGGCTCTTACCTCACCCAGGCAACCTTCTTTCATCATGTACTTCCTAACATGACTCCAGATTCGAGGTTTAGACAGCAGGCTACCACCAGTGGCTTGTTCAAATTTTTCATAACTTCCATATTTCTGTAAAGTCAGTTCCATAATATTGATGGACTGTAAAAGAAACAAACATAATGAAAGTACATAGCCTCATACTATTTTGCGATAATTAACAAGCCATTTACATTATGGAGGGGGGAAGCTTCAAGAATGTGTGGGAAAAATTCCATTCTCTTTTCATTCCAATTTCCCACAAACTTTTTCAAACCCCTATGTATTTATCACAATCTGCTCTTTGTTTATCAACTTCCAAGTTAAGCTTTGATTAAACTAACACACCTTTCTTATCCTAAACAGCTTTCACTCGTTTTCACAAATGCCAGTGGACTTAGAAATGCTCATTTTCTTTCTCTCTCTTCCTTTTTTCTAAATGTGCTGACAGAAAGAGAAGTTCAAGTACTACCCATGTGGTTAACATCAGACAGGCTGAGAAGCTAAGGCAGAGAGGTTCCCTGGCTTCTGAGATCACTTGGTGATTTGGCAGAATTCAGAGTGGAAAGTATACTTCCAAATTATCTACTAGATTACAGTTACCACTCGGATAAAGAAAAACAAATCAAGTTTTAAGAATACACAAAAGAATCAAGTAGCCTTTTGTGAAAATCCTGCAAAATCTAATTTTGGCATTCTTTTTCAGAAAACAGTCTCCACATTACTAAGAACATGCTTTTCTTTCACTCAGGGCTGTGGAGTTTTGATTCGGTGTCCATTTTCACATCAAAGGGACATGAGTGAGATATTTTTCTCTTAACACAGATTCAAAATGAAAGATGTAAAAATATACACCTGGCAGTGAGTTAAGCCTCTTAGCTTAAACCACCACCACCACTGAACACCAACAACAAAAAAACCCAACAAAGCTATTGAGTCAGATTTTGACTCATCGAGACACCATAATTGACCTAAAGAGGGGAAAACATAAGAAAGGAAAACACTCTTCAAAGACCTTTTGGGAAAAAAGGCAGAAAATCCATATACATTTTATATGAATCCTGTGGTTTCTGACTGTCAGCAGAATCGTGAAGAGATGCACTAGAGTCAAATTACCTGTGTTGAGGTTTTAGCTCTATCGTCTTCTGGTTGGGTAATCATGAGCAAGTCATTAAACTTGCTTTTCATTCTCATTTGGAAGTGGGATAATAATAATCCCTACTTCATGCTTTTACTGAGAAAATCCAGCCAACACTTGTATAGTGTCCGGGATACTTAATAAGCAGCGAATACATGTTAACTATCACTACATCTCCTTCAGCATCCTCACTGGTGTGTTACCATTCTGTATAAACAGTAACCGTGGAAACACACACAGGACAGAAAAGCTACCAAAGACCTCACATACTGCAAGTCAAACTTTTACATATCCCCAATGGAAAAACAGTCTTTACTGACAAACGGGGCAGGAATACAATGGGCATAACCAGAAACAGACTAAGTAGGCTGTGCCTGGCTTCTGTGCCCCTCATCGTTATTTAAAACCTTGCTCTTTAAAGTGTGGTCCAAAAGCACTTTCATCACTTGGAAGCTTGTTTCAAATGCAGAGTTTGCTCCCCATTACCCCCCAGGCCAACTGAAGCAGAATGTGCATTTAACAAGATACCCAGATAATTTCTGTGAACAGTAAATTTGGAAGGGATCTCAGAGGATGAAGACAAGTATACCAGAGGCTGATTCATTCATGTGACAACTATGATGAAAAGGACAGGTTGCTGTTGTTGTTAAATGCTGTCGAATCGATTCCGACTCAAAGCCACCCTGGCTGCCAAGGAGTGACTGGTGGATTTGAACTGCCAACCTTGTGTTTCAAACCAACCTTGCAGTCCAGAGCATTACCAAAAACCTATTTCAGCAGATGAGCAAAACTGTTTTGCATTTATCTCTAATGGTCACGAACCAGAAAAATAAACGAAAAAAGAAAAGAAAACACAAAACCCCAATGCTGTTGAGTATGTTCCAACTCTTAGCAATCCTATAGGGCACAACAGAACTGTCCGGGTAGGGGGTCCTCAAGCTGTAAGTCTTTACATGCAGACTGCCACATCTTCCTCTCTTGGAGTGGCTGGTGAGTTCAAATCACCAACCTTTCAGTTCCCATCCAGCTATTTAAACACTGCTCCACTAGGGTTCCTTAAACCCTGTTGTTGTTGTTAAGTGCTGTCAAGCCAGTTCTGACCCATAGCAACCCTGAATAGGGTTTCTGAGGAGTGACCAGTGAGCTTGAACAGCCAACTTTGTGGTTCAAACCAACTTTGCAGTCTAGCACATTAACCCACAGGACTACACCAAAAGTTCATATAGGTTTTTATTGTTGTTGTTGTTAAGTGCCTTAGAGTCAGTTTGTTGTTGCTGTTGTGAAGTGTTGTCGAGTTGGTTCCGACCTATAGCGACCCTGTATAGGGTTTCCGAGGAGCATCTGATGAACTTGAACTGCTGACCTTGCAGTTCCAACGGCTTTGTAGTCTGGCGCATTAACCTACAGCGCCACACAGGACTCGAGGCTATAAATCTTTGCAGGAGCAGGAAGTCTCATCTTTCTCCCACGGAGTGGCTAAGTGGGCTCAAACCGGTGACTTTTGGGTTTGAAGTCCAGTGCTTATCTTACAGAGCCATAGGGCATGGATAATGTGTACTAATGGATGCAGGATGGTTTCTTTGGGGCATGATGAAAATGTTCTGGAATTACATAATGGTGATGGTTACATACATAAATTCTAATCAAACATTCTCAACTTTGAAAATCACTGAATGGATAAAGTGTATGATATTTCAATTTGATCTTATATCAGTAAAAGGGCTTTTAAAAAAGCAATACTTAAAGACTACAATCTAAGAAACCATTAAACCAGAAAATGAAGAATTTCTGTATAAAACTTTCAGCATTGTCTTATACGATACATCCTAAATGCTCTAAGAAATCTCAACATTATGTTGAATGATCTGATTTCTATGTACTTCATCATCTTGTTTATTCAAAAACTATCTCCTGTTGCAAAGGCAGTTTCCATGCAATAAAAACCCATACACAATGAGCACATTAATATAACAAGAGACAGGGTGATGCTGGGAGAAGATTGGAAGTCAGGAGACCTGGCTTTGCAACACTCTTGGAAGCAGCAGTCAAGAAATCAAACTACGTACTGCATTAGGCAAATATGCTGCACAAGATCTTTTAAAAGTGCTGAAGAGCAAAGATGTCAGCTTGAGGACTAAGGTGCGCCTGACCCAAGCCATGGTATTTTCAATAACCTCGTATGTATGCGAAAGCTGGACAGTGAATAAGGAAGATAGTAGAAGAATTGATGCTTTTGAATTACGGTGTTGGAGGAGAATACTGAAAGTGCCATGGACTGCCAAAAGAACCCACAGATCTGTGTTAGAAGAAGTGCAGCCAGAGTGCTCCTTGGAGGCCAGGATGGCCAAACTTCATCTCTCATACTTGGGACATACTGTCAGGAGGGACCAATCATTGGAGAAGAGTATCATGTTTGGTAAGGTGGAGGGTCTTAGAAAAAGAGGAAGATCCCCAGTAAGATGGATTGGCAAAGTGGCAGCATCAATGGGCTCAAGCGTGACAACAGTAGTGAGGTTGGCCCTAGACTGGGCAGTGTTTCGTTCTGCTGGGCATAAGGTTGCTATGAGTCCGTACCGTCTTGATGGCACCTAATAACAACAACTATTTACTGACTGCGTGATCTTAGGTATGTCATTTTACCTTTTTCAGGTTTAGTGCTTTCACTGGCAAATGGAAATGACTATTTTTGTTCTATTTACCTCACAGGGCTTGTTGTGAGGATGAAACCAGAGAAGAGAAAAAGAGGGGGGAAAATGGCTGTGAATGTGTCTTGTAAACTATATTCCAAGTGACTACTTAGATTTTAGAAGAAGACTGCAGGGTTTTAATTTTGGAATTTAAGATCACTGAATTACTCTCCAACCTTTTTTTTTAATTAAAAAAAGAAAGTTTGATGAATTTGACATTAAATACAAGAATTTCTCTTCATCAAAAATATTGTATAATGAAAAGATGAGCCACGAACTGGGAGAAACATTTGGTCGGTGCTGTGGAGTCAGTTCAGAATCACAGTGACCCTGTACAGGGTTTCCGAGGCTGTAAATCTTTATGAGAGCAGAAAGCCTCATCTTTCTCCCATAGAACAGCTAGTAGTTTCGAACTGCTGACCTTGAGGTTAGCAGCCCAACTTGTAACCACTATGCTACCAGAGGTCCTTACTTGCAACACATTAGTATCCAAAAAACATACATAACATCTAAACATGAATAAGGAGAAAAAAACCATGCATATTAAAGCTGTAATAAAATAGCACCTAACACCTGCCACCTCAAGTTTTGGAAATGATGACATTCATTTAGTGTTGGTGCAAGAATTATCGGGTAAAACATAAACCAAAACCTCTTGCAAGTAAATATATATATATACAAAGGGGATTCAAAAGTTCATGGAAAAATTCCTTTTATATTTTTCATTCCACTTTTTTATGAACTTTTTGAAGTCCCCTTATAGTATGATTTCATTTAAATGAAATTTAAAAATTCAAAATCTAAATAATATACAGGGAAATAAACATCCATGAAAAACAAAACCATAATGAAAAATAAGGTATAATGATGAAAGCACCACTCAGTGATTCTTTAAGATGAGCAGCACACTGGAAAACCAAGATAATGGCAACATTAATTTTCTTAAAATGATTCAATACATCATTATTAATATCTAATGTGTAGTTTATAAATAAAACTCTTTTGTAAGAGCTGTTGGTGGGTGAACCGCTGACTTGGTGGTTTGCAGTCCAGTCCTTCTCCAGCAGTGCCACACCAGGAGTCCATTCTAGTTTTGTAAACACAATTTCAAGAGAGTCTACATATTCTCTCTGGCTCACTAAAAGAACCTAAAACAATTTGCTGACCATTTCCCAGAAATGGTACATTGGCAACAGTTGGCAAGTTCTGCCAACTGCAGCCCTTAGAAAATTTATTTAGCATCTTATTAACAAATGGCTTTAACTGCTAATCAATTGGTAATATTTTAAATGGGTCTT